CTCAGGAGGCTGAGGCAGGAGAATTGCCTGAACCCAGGAGGCGGAGGTTGTGGTGAGCCGAGATCGCGCCATTGCACTCCAGCCTGGGTAACATGAGTGAAACTCCGTCAAACAAAAAAAAAAAACTGCACTAAGTTCTACCTAATTCTTTCTAATGACTGCAGAGTATTACACAATATGGATGATTACAATTTACTTAACCACTCCTTTACTAATGGACATTAAATGTTTTCAGAGCCAGGTGCGGTGGCTCACACCTGTAATCCCAGCACTTCAGGGGGCCAAGGCAGATGGATTGCCTTAAGAAAAAAAAAAGTTTCAAGATTTAATTACTGTAAAATAATGCTGCTGTCAATATTCTTATCTACTGCATTTATGTATCTTTTAAAATTTGTATTTATTTATTTATTTATTTATTTATTTATTTATTTATTTATTTATTTTGAGATGGAGTCTTGCTCTGTCGCCAGGCTGGAGTGTAGTGGCACAATCTCAGCTCACTGCAATCTCTGCCTCCCAGGTTCAAGTGATTCTTCTGCCTCAGCCTCCCGAGTAGCTGGGATTACAGGACTGCACCACCATGCCCAGCTCATGTTTCTATTTTTAATAGAAATGGGGTTTCACCATGTTGACCAGGCTGGTCTCAGACCTCAGGTGATCTGCCCAACCCGGTGTCCCAAAGTGCTGGGATTACAAGAGTGAGCCACCACGCCCAGCCTATGTATTTCTTTATTTAAAGGATATATATGTACACATACACATATATGATAAACTCCTAGATATGAAATTGCTGAGTCAAAGAGTGTACATTTTAATTTTGATAAGATATTGGGAAATATTAACAAATTACCCCCCAAAGAGGTAGGAACTCTTTCAGTTCTACCTTTATGTGAACTTTCCATCAACAAGCACACTGTTATCCTCCTTCCTCTATTTCTTTCACAGTATCTGAGGAAGGCTTTTATACAGCGTAACACTAAAGATGCAGAGACACAGTGAGGGACTGAAGCACCCAGGCAGACTGAGGCCACCTCAATCTGGGTTCAGCTGGGAGGAGGGGAAAAAACAGAATCACCTCCAATTGATCACTAGACTTTATGACTCCATTTAACAGTCCACTACCTTCCTACTCCGTATACAGAAACATTCCCCAGTCACCCCAGTACCTTGAACGATGTCATCCTGCCGTTGTAGGATGGGACGGGGAGGGCGAGTAGGCTCTCTGTCAGAAAATCCTTTTTCAGGGGTCCTGGAGCCACCACTTCCTTCACTAAAGGATGGAGGTAGGTTCCCAGCATGGACTTGACGTAGCTGTTCGAAATCACTGAGGGCAGCACTCACATCCCAATTCTTTCCTGTCAGGAGACAAAGCAAAAAGGGAACTGTGCACCCAGAGTATAGAGAAACTTGGGGGGAGAGACACAAAGATCACACTAACTATCCCATCAAAACCAGCAAGCATATACGCATGCACATTTCAATCATGGTTCTTTTCCTTACCCTGTTTTAATTTTTTTAACACTTCAATCTAATTTATCTAATGCATTTACTTACTTATTTGTTGTCTATTTCATAAGTAACCTCCATGAAGATAGAAACTTTGTCCCCCTGAACTAAAAGAGCCCTTAAAGATCTAGTAACCCAAAATTAAAACTTCCTTTTACAGATAAAGAAAACAAAGCCTAGATAAGTAAATTATTTGCCCAAAGTCAGCTAATTCACACTAGACCCAGCAGGACTCAAGCCCAGGTCCCCTAATTCTGAGATCCAAAGAGGTTCTTAGCCTACATGTACTCTAATGTGTCCTAAACACTGATCCTGCATAGAAGATCATGGGCTTGTGCATTTTCTAGTGGAAGAGTTTATAGCTATCATCCACTTATCGAAGGAAATTATATTTCCCCCAAATTTAAGAATCACCATTCTACTAAAGAAATGACCTGCCGGGCGCAGTGGCTCAAGCCTGTAATCCCAGCACTTTGGGAGGCCGAGGCGGGTGGATCACGAGGTCAAGAGATTGAGACCATCCTGGTCAACATGGTGAAACCCCGTCTCTATTA